CCCCCCCCCCCCCCTCTGGGGCTTAACATTGATAGGTGCATAAATATTAAACACCTGATACATAATCAGTGCGAGCACAACGGCTCCAAAATCACAACAAATATTAAATGGAATATAAGGTCAATTAAGAACAGCGCTTTACTTACAGTACCTCGATCTATTTTTCTGAGGCGCTCAACTACGTAAATTTTCGGCGAACAATCAATATTTTCTTTGCCCTTCCTCGACGAAAGCCGTGGACGAAACTGTGCATGAGTGATGAAATGCTCGTCGGAAAACTCGGGATTTGTCGTGTTTTACGAATCTGCCACGTGATTTACCCCCGCCGGTACAACGCGACACGAAATTTAGAGCTATATGAAAGTTGCATGCCCTATATGGGCATGCAACAAAAAACTGTGCGTAGGAAGCAGGGGAGCTGGGGGGCCGCGGCCTCCCAGTATTTTATAAGAGAGGCGGGATAGTTTTCGGGCCCCCACAAAAAATTTAAAAAAAATAATAAAAAAATTACTGCGAAATTCTCGAAACTGGAAGTATTTGGAACCGTATATATCATACATATTAATAATGTATCTGCAATTGTTTAATGTTATTTTAATAGCATTTTTTGTCTTATCAATATTTGTTGGGATTTTTTTCTTTTGTCATTGGATGTTTTTAGTCTATGCCGCTTGTTAGGCAGCGGTATTTACTTGCTCAAATAGTTATCATCTAACGCAGTCGCAAACCATAAAGTAAACATATCGGCTTGTAAATCATAACGACAGAATTTGAAAGAGCTTAACGAAAATGCTAAAGAAGACCGAAAATGCTAAAAATGTAAAAAAAAAACTCTGAAATGCCATTTCCGACGATCTGTTGACTCCAAATTTTCCGCTCGGCGCAAACCATAGTGGCACCTCGTGGGAGTCGGCCCCCCTAACTGTTACTAACTTCCTACGCCCCTACTTTTAAACTAGTTTAAATTTCGCACGCAAGCTATTTTTAATGCTGCTAAAAAGACACCCCCCTGCTTTACCCCATTTTTGTTTATTCTACATTATAACCAAACAATATATATTTATCAAACATTTCATGACATGAACGCATTTGTGGAATTGAGAGCCGTTTCAAAATTCCCTACCCCCTTTACACACCCTGTAGGGGAGCAACACAGAATTCAGGGAAACTTGGAACGAGTCTAGGATGTGGGGTAGAGTACAGTAAACGTGCATTGTGTTAGGAAGATAATATCAGAAAAATTAGGTTGATTGACCTAAGGTCGACTCTCCCCTTCATGTGTAATGTGACTAATGTCATGTGATGGAATGGTGCTTGTGCCTTTCACCTTTGTGATTGGAGTTTTACAGCTTCTATACCCTGCAATATGCAGTTTTTCGATAAAATTTTGCCTCAGTTCTATGTGAGAAGACTATTTCCAGCTTGACTCTACTTAATACTACTTGCCTTGTAACTACCGATAACAAGGGACATGCATGGGCAGCACTAGTTTGCCAGACATCTAGAGAGAGAGGTTTGGGACTAGCTGTTAAACGGTTCAATTTAAATAGTTGAGTTTAGATAATTTCTATATAATAGAAAAAAGGATATTACTGTTTAGTGTTGTAAAGATATAAAGGGAATGGAAAGATAAGAAAAGTATAGGTAAAACCGTTTCTTTCAAAACGAAAAATAGTGTGTCGTCAAATAGAATAAAATACTCGATCTGGATTAGAGAGAATCAGTAAACTGGCTTTAGACTAAGTAAAATAGCAATAAAGATGAACTGATGAAGAGTATATTTTGACAATAAGGAGCGCATCAGCTAGCTAGAAGCATTGCAGTTTAATGAATTAACATATATTGCATAAATTAAAGGCGTTATAACTTCAAGCTATTCAGCTGCAAAATCTTTTCCAGATACTTCTACTGATCTGCATCGGTCCTGTAGGATACTTTCTTAACAACACGTCAGACTATGATTATGACAAGAAAGACAATCTGAAATTCTTCATTGGCGCAGCTGCAGCAGCAGCAGTCATTGCAGTGCTGTTCTTCCTAATATTTCTAACTGGGCTGCATAAGAAAATCGATGCTTTTAACTGGGCTAAGACGGTAAGTATTCCCATTGATCATTTGAAGAATTGGTCTAACACAGGTTGTCTCAAAAAATGATCTCATTCTATTTTGAGGTATAACAATCAGTGGTGTACAAGGGGGGGGGGGAGGGGGTTCAGCCCCCATGTTAGATGCTCAGGGGGTCTAAAACGCCCTTGTTTAAAATATCACGCCAGTTTGGGGTATTCACAACCTGGAAAGGTCTTTGCAACTGTAGTGTTGAAACAATTATGCGGTAATGATGTCAGCAATATGTTCTTGATTACTATGATCCTACCATTAGGTCATGTATATGACTCCAACATGAAATAGCTTCAGTATATTGGAATATTTTATTTGAAGTTAAGTCCTTTCTTCAAAAAACACTACTTGAAGAATTACTAGAAGCCAAAAATAAATGTTGGACGCATGCACCCTCCACGCCTTGTCACCCCGCTCTCCCCCCTTCCCTCACCCGTCAAGAGCCCCCCTTGTTATCATTTCAGTTCTACACCACTGATTGTTATGTTAACTTTCTTAGAAGTTTATCTTTACTACTTTAATAGTTTAATTGACATTTTGCTTATGAAAATACCTATAAAAATGAAGAATATAATATTAGTTTATAAACCGCGAAAAGCCATTTGGAGATTTTAATTAATTAATCAATAGAAGATAAAATGACATTTTATGATGAAAATCGATTGTTGCGTTTAGGTCACGGGCATATTTGTAATTCTGGCTATCGTACTGCTGGTTGCCTCATCGTTGGTGGCAGACACAGTCAGCTATTATAAGTCTTCTGACATCGATGACGGGAAGATTGATTTTTGTCAATTTTTTGAAAATCACGACAAGAAATATCGTTGTGGTCAGCTGACCACAGGAGCTGTAAGTCCATTTCTTTGATATAAACATCTTTATATAGCCTGTGATACGAAATACGCTTTAGAAACACCAAACGGCAGACGTATTTTTATTCGTATGTATTTTTACTTTTTAATGCTCATCCTCGCACTGTTAGTTGCTTGGAAAATAAGAAAGTGTTCCTTTATTAACTAGTTATAAATGAAGGTGACTTGTAGCTAGCAAGACACTGACTCACTCATTCATGACCACTGCGACGGCCATTAATTGATACAACGAATTTTATAATAGTTTCTAGAAAAGAAACGAATAATCTACACGTCGTTCTCGTTCTGTTTACAACAGCAAACCAAACGTTTTCACATCTAGCTTGTATGGTGTTTTAACGTGTCGTCACGTACGGCGGCCTGCAACAGAGCGCGGCCGCAATAACTTTATAATAATGCTAATAATGCATAAAATTTGTTCGTTTGAAGTTATTTATCCTTCAACAAGAGAATACATGAAATCACTCTATACAACGTTTTAAGGCGCAAGAAGTCTGAAAAGTGGTAATTGAAAAATTAATTAGCCTGCGAATACAGACGCCTCACATCGGGCGCTACATTTCGCCCGATGTGAGGCGTCTGTATTATCTACATTTCTGCCCGATGTGAGGCGCCCGATGTGAGGCGTCTGAGGCTAAAAATTAATTGGCTTGCATGGGAGAGCCAAAACCAGCTAGGGTCAGCTTCACAATTTTAGTTTTTACATTTAGAATAGCTCAGAATTGATTTGATTCTGTGTTGTGTAACAAATTACTAAATTCCATTTTATTTCTACCATCAGGTCTTTGGTTTCTTGGCTATGGTAGTTTTTATTGTGGATTCCATAATTCATTTTAGATTGTGATAAATCGTCCTGGATACACCTGATTAATTAAAAGTACTTAATAAAAATAAATGTAAATTCTTATTGAAAGATTTTATTTCAATTTACAATTTCATTTTATGTAACTTCAAATAATTATCGATATTAAAATACCAATTTGAATCTGTTTTCACACATGTCATATTTTTATAACTCTATATCTGTCTCGTTCCCAGGCGCTATAAAACGATTTCACATACGAGTCACTATATAAAAGGTTTACATCAGGGCGCTTATATATAGGGCGGTGAAACGGCTATAGGCCCGGCGATCGATGTGTGATGCAATGAACTGGTAACGAGTTTGTTGTGGTTACTATGACGACGTTGTCTTATTGCAAGAATATATATGGCGGGAAAACTGAGCTGGAAGTTTTGACTGTTTTGTAGTCAAGTTTTGATGAAGAAATAGATATTGGGGAGTAAAATTCCGATGTTATACGATAATTTAGTAGATTCTGCTATTGTATTTTCAGGTAATACTGCCAATATTTTGGAGTTTTTGCTCAAAACGCTTGCGAAAGATTACGAACGCTTTCTTTCGCAAGAAGCATGACGTGAAAGGTTTTTAAAACTCTTCGGATGTACACGTATCGTTCACGTTCGATAGAATACAATTCACAATTAATTTCAGCCACTAGTTGATCTTTTCAGTTGAAAATCAAGAAATGCTCAACTTGAATTTGTATTTTTTTAACGAATCCTTACGAGAAGTTGTCTTGGCCAGCCGGTCAAAAAAAAACAAAGTTGGGACGAAACTTTTTCGACCATTGCGCTCAACAAACGTCCGAGCGAGTCGTATTTTGATTCAAAGGCCAAGAAGTAAAATATGTTTACGGCTCAGAATTACTTCAATTGAATGCCTTAAAAGTCGTACAAAATTATTAACATTATTATTAGCATGACAAAATTACTGGATGCTGATTGGTTGAGAGGAGTACAATTATTTCATTAATTGTACTGCAGTACAATTAATGATTTTCCCAAAACAAACAAAATGGCGGAAACGTATTTTAAATTCAAGCGTGAAATGAAATTGCCGTGGAGGAACTAGATGAAAATACGAACAAAATCACCAAATTTTGCTTTAACAAAAGAACTAAATGAAAATACAAACAAAAGCACCAAATTTTGGTTGAAAGTCTGGCGGGACTGGGCTTTGGCGAGAGACTATGATGCTGACATTGAGAAGTACGTATCCAATTTTGTCATGCTAATAATAAACAAGTAATCATGCGATGTTGCTCGTACAATTAGGGATTAATGGTACTCGTGATGTTTGGAAATTTGCCAAATTGGACTCGCCCCGGCGGCTCGTCCAATTTTGGCAAAATTTCCAAACATCACTCGTACTATTAATCCCTAATTGTACTCGCCATCGCATGATTACCTATACTAATAACAAAAAATCATGACATGGCCAAAATACAATTGTTGTTTATTTTTTTGCAGCGAAATAATGGTAGAATTTTAAATATAATTTTAACACACAAAAATACCTCACTTTCCAACGCTGTATATTCATTGCTCAACTCCGAGTCTTATGAAAACTTTTGGAGATAAGCACATAATTATAATCATTACCATCAACTGAATTTCGAAGTTTGGACGACTTGATAACATGCCCAAATGCTGTTTTGAAAATTTCCCTTCATTGAAGTCATCAAAAGCCCGACTCATTATCCTCAATATTTCTTTCAAAATTCAACTATACAGGCCAAACAAGCATTCGTACGATACACTAGTTACTACTTCGTCGTTACAGTGCAAAAACATCCCCTCAAGAATTTCGTAGTTAATGAAAAAATAACCTGAGTATCAGGCCCTTATGTTTTCATTCGCCAGGATTAATTGGCGGCGGCGAATGAAGCAGCGAAAATACAACAGCAGGAAAAATCACGCTCCTTGTCAACTTTTGCCGAAAAGCACGCTCGTGCCAGTCCTTTTCCGCATCACACATCGATCAGCGCGACATCAGCGCGTTGCACCGCCCATTACCGCCCACTATATAAGCGCCCTGGTTTACATGATGTAGTGCGTCACATTATAGGCGCGCAAGGGGAATGAGATATGAGCGTTCTGCCTCACGCCCATAAACCCCTGCGCTTGTTCGTCGCGATGCATTACTTCATGTAAACCTTTCATATAGTGACTCACATGGAATTTTTTTATTAGCGCCTGGAGACGAGGCAGGCTCTACAAGGTGTATAAAAAAACGCAACCTCGGAATTTCCCAAGAAATCGAAATTGTTTTAAGAACAAACTGAAGATTTTAGGTTCCTTGGAATTTAGAATAGCACAGCTGTCAAAGTTACTGCACACGCGAGTGCATAAAGCAAAATTTATGCTTTTATTTAACAGTGCAACATGTACAACAGTAATATGATCTATTAGCAATTCGATGTCAATTCCCAGGGGCCTAATAAATCTTTTATGCAAAGTGGATTTGAATTGCAAAGTGGATTTCTTAGGAAATTCCGAGATTGCGTTTTTTTTATACACCCTGTATACATACACGCTTTTAGAACGCCAACATTTCTGCCAATAATGAGAGGGCGACGGCTTAGGAACTTTCTTTTCCCCTAATTTTTTCAAATGAAAAAAAAAACTTTTTCTGTAGTAAAGTAGTGCCCAGATTTTCTGATTTTTTCTGATATTCCACTTGCACATGAGAGAAAATCCAGCTACTTATACTTTTAAATTAGCTAGATAAAAAAACCTCCCCAGAACGCAGGTAATGGATTTGCAAAATCCTTACAAATCCATTTTTTGCCTGGAGGGCATTCTCCCCTACAATTCTAAACATTTGTACATACGTACCATGGGGGATACTTGCGAACCTCTCCCCTCCAAATAAAGGACCCAAGGGACACCACTTGAAGGTGCTCTCTTTTGGCGGTGCTGGTTGAGCTCTTGCATACTGAAGACGTACGTAGCAATCGGGGTTTTGGGGATGCAGACGCGCAGAAATACAACTGTCAAATCTTAAAAAGATAAATAAAACAAACACAGAAATAGTATTTCTGGATTTCATTCCGGTTTAAGATACGTCGGAAAAACTGCTCACTCTATTGCATACAATTTACATTTAATGAAATAAATTTCACACTACGCCAGGAGGGAGATTGTTTGAAAACGTCGTGACTTTTGTCGTAACAATTTGAGCAGGGATTCTAGCCGGAGAGGGATAAAAATGGAGCACATGACGGCTTCGTGTGAACAGCGGCACCGTTTTTCTCTTGTTCCGCTTTAGCATTTTTCAGTGATTTTTTTTACTTTTGCATATTTTTATTATCTTCTTATGTTATATTTTTCCATTTTAAAATTTTTCTCATCATTTCAGCTTGTTTTGCGAATCCGTACCAAAACTCTAACAGCTTATAGTGTGAACCAGTGGTGTGAACACTGACGTGGCGTCATGGGCCCGTCATTTAATATTTCGCTCCAGTGTAGTGTGACGCAGTCTCAGTTTCAACTTTCTCTTTATACCCAGACGGGCAGCCCAGCAAATAATCCTACCGGGCTATAGAGACTCGTTTTCATAATTGATAAGAGCCCTTTTATATCTTGCCACAGGTATACACAACCATATACGAAACCATGCTGTTTATCAGTGAACATAGAAGGAGTGTTTCTTTTGTAAATCTAGATTTGGATTTTTAGGATTCGAATTTTTTGGATTCGTTAAACAAATGGAACGAATTGTGAGAATCGGAATTCGCCTGCTGGTTTCCCGCCATTTTCACAATAAGTTTTCTGTCCCACTATTCCATTCGGTCGGGTCAAGGTACATGCTAGAAGGCCAGAAACTCAAAAGGAACGTTGAATCCTAATCAAGTTTCAGATTGAATTCGAAAAATCCATATGTTGGGGGTAGATTCATCAGATTCGAATCTATTTTAAGATTTTGTTAAATGAAATTGAAAATCAATCATCGGATTTGAAGATCCAAATCCGGATTGTACTAAAGGACCTACAGGAACGCACGCAGAAGATCTGTTTATGATTATGTCATCAGTAACAGGAATTAAAAGCTCTAAAATCTAAATTCAATGTCTCAATCACAGAAACGAGGTTCCACAGCCGCCGCTAGCGGGCTGGTTCTTTGCGTAAAAGGTACGTGTATTAGCCATTCCGAAGTTGATGAGTGGACTGGGGACGAGTGTTAAAAAGTGCCCAAATTACGAAATGAACCAAATCACTAAAAAGACCACCTCAAAATTAGTAAGTATACGAAGTTTAAGAACGTTTACATGAATACCCTTCGAATAATAAGCATTCGAAAATTGTGAAATTACTTATTAAAAGATTGTTTTTGGGACGCGCGCAATCTCGTTCCCCGAGCCTGCGATCCTCGGGAAGGAACGTGAGGCTCTGGGATAATCTGTTTCAGGGAGGAATCTGATTGGCTGTTGAAATGGAAGGCGTAGTTCAATCTTAGCCTGGATTCCTCGCTTCCAGCAACGGATTATCCCAGAGCCTCACGTTCTTTCCCGAGGATCGCAGGCTCGGGGAACGAGATTGGGACGCGCGTCCCAAAAACAAAAATTACAGTACATTTCATAGTAAATATCGCGATTTTCGAAAGCTTATTATTCGAAGGGTATTCATGTAAACGTCTTCAAACTTTGCATACTTACACAGGAAGCCCAAGCGTTGATCTGTGTTAGTGTTGTATGTTTTTCAGTTTAATTTATTTTAGTGTCTTTATATTGCCTTTTAATTGAATTATAACACTAAATTACACTAATATGTCATATAATAATAATATTCCTATAGTCGAACATATAATAACAACATATAAGTTGATTTGTATTTGTATGTGTTTCAGTTTATTTATTTAAGATCTAACATTAGCTTATATAAAAGCACCACCTTTCGAACCTGACAGCCCGTTCGCAGGATACGCGTTATTTCGCACTGAAATAAGAAATGTGACAA